AGATTAGCAGAAGCACCTTTGAGGGATAGAGCTGCTGCATCATAAGCTCGAGCTGCCATTTCAGCTGTTGGGTATGTCCCTAGCCAGAATTTCTTCCTTTTCTGGCGGATTTCCGCCACCCATTTGCCACTACTGCGCAATCTTACGCCGCGGTACTTCTGGTGGTTGCTGCCACTGTGATCATCACTAGTACTAGTCCTCTGCCTCTTCTTGTTGTTTTGCTCTTCAACATTGTTTGGCTGTTGCCCTTTTTCAGATGTACAATTCAGAGTCCTCTGCCTCTTCTTCTTGTTATTTTGCTCTTCAACATTGTTTGGCTCTTGCCCTTTTTCCGATGTACAATTCTCTGAATTTAGGGTGGTTTATTATGTGGAGATATTGAAAGATTTGAAAAGAGTTTAAAGAAACACATGTTCACATTAACAAAAACATATCAATTGCTTTCCTATAGCAAATGGAACACAATTTCCATCTCCTCCTCATCATTAACAAATTTTGTACCCTTTTAACAAAATAGACCACAAGGGAGCCAATACAGGTACATCACAAAGACTCAAACAATATATGCCTCCCCCAAACACCATAAGCATGGAATCCCAAACTTGCAGGAAATATGATGATATTGTTTTCCCTAATTTCTAAAGCTGCTTGCCAGTGCATTCGTCAGCACATAGCAAACGAAAAAAGCATTCATCCTCACCGAAAAATCACTTCTAGCGAACATCCAATCAAGGCCAAACACTTCCAACAGGTGCATCCAGATCCTTCTAGCAGATCTGCAGTGCAAGAAGTATATGGTCCACATACTCTGCCTCCTTTATGCACAAGTAACACAACAAACACCAAGGAATATGCACAGGTTCTTATTCTCTGTAACATGTCAAGGGCTATACTTTGAATCATGCGAAAATTTTCACCTTTAAGGCAGATTAAATGGATCAAAGGGATCAACTTGACTCTAATGTGTACTTATGACTTCAATTTTATTTATTCACCTAAATCCAAAGTTTTCTGAATCAATTAAAACTGTAAAATTAGAAAGATATATTGGAACTCTGATCTCATATATTTGAAAGTCAACCCAAATTTTGCAAAATGAGAGTTAAGGGTTTATCTAACACCCTAGCAATTAATTACCTGCTGCAGTAGAAACCAATTTGTCCACATCACAATCAATTGAAGCACAAATGCCAGTCGATTCTTGAGCTTTGCTGCTGGGCTCTGCTTCTTTAGTCACTGCTCCACCTATAATCTGCTTTTCCTCAGAAGCCGAAGCTGCAACTTGAATGTCCATGGGAGACAGGGAGTCCGATAGGGGAAGTGCTTGAGCCAATTCAGGGAAATTGAGATTAGCAGAAGCACCTTTGAGGGCTAGAGCTGCTGCATCATAAGCTCGAGCTGCCATTTCATCTGTTGGGTATGTCCCTAGCCATAATTTCTTCCTTTTCTGGTGGATTTCCGCCACCCATTTGCCACTACTTCGCAATCTTACGCTGCGGTACTTCTGGTGGTTGCTGTCACTGTGATCATCACTAGTAAGAGTACTATTCGTCTGCCTCTTCTTGTTGTTGCTTTGCTCCTCCACATTGTTTGGCTCTTGCCCTTTTTCAAATGTACAGTTTTTTGAATTTAGGGGAGTGTATTCAGTTGAGATTTTGAAGGATTTTAAAAGATTCATAAAAATACATGTTCACACAAACAAAAACATATCAATAGCTTTCCTATACCAAGTAGAACACAATTTATTTGCAACTATAAACAAAAGGTTACAATAATCTTACATCAGATTAACTCCATTTCCTCCTCGTCCTCAACAAATTTTGTACCCTTTTAACCAAATACACCACAAGAGAGCCAATACAATACATGACAGAAACTAAAACAATACATACCTACCCTCAACACCATACACATGGAGTGTCCCAAACTGGCGGGAAAGTTGACGCTATTGTTTCCCCTAATTTTCTAAACCTGCTAAGCAAGTGCCTTCATCAGCACATAGCATACAACAAAAGCATTCATACTCACTGAAAATCGCTTCTAGAAAACATCCGGAGAAGGCCAAACACTTCCAATAGGTGCATCCCCTAATTTTCTAAACCTGCTAAGCAAGTGCCTTCATCAGCACATAGCATACAACAAAAGCATTCATACTCACTGAAAATCGCTTCTAGAAAACATCCGGAGAAGGCCAAACACTTCCAATAGGTGCATCCAGATCCTTCAAGAGGATCTGTAATGCAAAAAGTATATGGTCCACATACTTTCTCTCCTTTATGCACAACACACACCAAGGAGGAACTGCAAGCTTAAATGAGAAAATTTTCACCTTTAATACCAGCTTAAATGAATCAAAGGGATCTACTTTGACAGTAATTTGTGTCTTATTACTTCAATTTTAATTATTCATCTAAATCCAAAGTTTTCTGAATCATTTGAAATTGTAAAATCAGAAAGCCATAATTTTCTTTAGAAAGCTATAATTTTTAGTTTGCCAAAAAATCAGAAGGGTGTCCAATCTCATACATACGAAAGTCAACCCTAATTTTGAGAAATGAGAAATAGGGTGTATGTGAGAACTAGGGGTTTATTAAAACCCGAACAATTAATCAGCAAATTAACAATTAATCAGCAATTATACCTGCTGCAGTAGAAACCAATTTCTCAACATCACAATCAGTTGAAGCACAAGTAATAGTTGATTCTTGAGCTTTACTCATGGGCTCTGCTTTCTTCAGTCGCTGCTTCCCATACAATCTGATTTTCCCAGAAGCTGCTTCTGCTTCTGCGGCTGCCTTAGCAGCTGCAGCCGGGATGCTCAACGGAGACACGGATTCTGGTTTGGGAAGTGACTTTACTAATTCAGGGAAATTGAGAGAAGCAGAAGCATCTTGGAGGGCTAGGTAGCATCATAAGCTCTAGCTGCCATTTCTGCTTTTGGGTATGACCCTAACCATATTCTGAATTTCTTCCTTATATTGTGAATTTTGGTCACCAATTTGGTCCTCCACAACCACACGCCGCGGTACGTCGGGTGCTTTCCACCGTAACTGTGATCATCACTCGTCTGCCTCTTCTTCTTGCAGCTGCTTTGCTCTTCCGCGCTGTTTGACTCCTGCTCCTTTTACAATTTAGTGTTTTTATCGGCCAAAGAACCGGAATTTGTCATTGTCAACGCGGAGGAGGCGGAGGTTTTCTTGAGGAGCACTCTCTGTGTTGGTTTGCTCCGCCATGATTGCGGGCCTAGCTCAAAAGGTTTTGGGCTATATGATTGTCTATTAAGAAACTTAAAAATAGATATAAAAGAGGGAGCAGAAAGAAAATAAGTTTTAAGTGCTGATTTGAATATGTTTTTAAAATAATTGAAATTGCTTTTAGTGAAATTTTTTTTGGAAATCATCATTTTAGTAAAAATGCTAATAAATTCTGAAAAAAAAAGCAATTAAAGTGCGTCATGAAAGAAGCACATAACTGATGCTTCTTGTAGGAAACCTAAGAACATTTTTTTTAAAGCACTTTCAATTATTTTAAAAGTACATCCAAACGAGCCCTAACTCATTTTACACTACATAGTTTGGTGGTCATTTATAAAATGAGTTATGAGATTTCAATTTTCACACATTTCGAAACGTGATTTTCGAATTGCCCCAATTTAGTATTTTTGTGAATTTTATTGTGTATTTAAATTTTAAGTGTTAACATGATATAAATTGTGCCCACATTTGAAAGCACATGTTGACTAAACCCATCATCCATCCAAGTTTAATTTCAGCAATAAATATTTTGCGCCTAAAACAGGTTCAAGCTACCAACGCGAATGCTCCAAGTTTAATTTCAGCAATAAATATGTTGCATAATCCCTAAGATATCCTAATTTGGCTTTAATTTCCGTACTTGAGAGAGACAAGTAATGTCTTCAATGAGCTTAAGCCTAGTCTATTGTTTACAGCTATCTGACTTCACTTGGTATTTTGACTTTGTATGACTAAGGCTGGTCAAATCTGACTAAGATGCCTGTATAAGTAACTTGTTCCACATCAGGCCTCTCAGCTCATTCACCTAATTATCACGTGCTATGGGTCTTTCGGTCTTTCTTTCCATGTGTCATGGGCCTAGAAAATCATGGTCGCACACTCCATTCATTTTAATTTTCATTAGAATTGTGTAATTTCATTCATTTTACCATGACAAAGGGTAAGGGGAGGGAAAGGGGATGGCAATTCTCGCGACTTAATAGTAACAGCCTATTATAATTTCCACTCAAATTAAATTATTCCATAATTTCCATAAGTATTCCTTTTAAACTATTCACAAAGGGAGAAATTTGTATTAATCTTTTAATAGTGTTAGATTAATTTTTTGATGTGGGAGTGAAAAAACTCGATGGGTTGTTATAAAAAAAATATGGTGATATTGCAGATGACCGGGATGAGCGTGCTCTGTTTTGTCATTGTGGAGATGAGCTAACGGTAGTTTCCTTCTCGGCTTAATTGTGTTTTGTGTATGCTTGTACAGCCTAGCAGTTTGTATGGCCTCGCTTTTCAATGACGGCTCTATGTGTTCCTTGGTTTCGAATATGCCACCATAAATCTGTCATGTAAGATATTTATTATGTTTGTTTATTGGAGAAAACGTACGCAGGTAGCACCTTTCTTGTAATCATGTTCCTCTTATTAATGGTTTATTGTCATTGCTTGGGCTAAAAAAGAGAGTATGATTGATGGATTTCTATTAAGGAAAAGTCAAATTTATGAGCTGAAATCTTTAACAAATGAACCAAAGTTGGAACCAAACTCGAGTTCTGTCAGAAAAAGCTGAAGTTGTTTCACGAGCTTTATGAGCCAAACATACCAAACGCTCAAGCTCGGTCATTTTTCGACGAGCATAAGATTTTGAACAAGTTAGCTCGCTTCACTTACAAACCCAGCTTGAAGGAGCCAAAAGTGAGCCAAACAAGAGTCAACTATTTTTTTAACAACTTTATCCCCTTAACAATTGTGTATATCAATTTTGACATTTTATTTCATACTTACTTTTATCTCAGCCCCATCTCTTCCCGCCTGGCCACATTCACTTGGAAAACCTACTTCTGCCATTAGATTTCTTCCGACACAATAGACATATCAGAAATTCATCATACTAATAAAACATGAAGGTTGCTTCACTTGAGCAGAAGGATAGCAAACACAAACATCCACTAAGAAACTTTCAACGCTTAATTAAAACTGACTCGCATCGAAACCGAACACAATCCTCAGCAGGACAAAATCCAACCAGATCCTTCATGTGTATCAGAATTCACCTGAATGAGACAGAATCTGGTATGTTGTGAATTTCACCATATGCCTGACATTGTGCACGCTCTCGGACCTTTACTTTTTGCCTGCTTTTTTTCCTGGTTTCACTGGTCTTACTGGTGCAGTAGTTTTAGCCTGAATTCTTCGTTTCCGTGTCATTGCAAACTCTCCAAATTTATGACCAACCTTCTCTTCGGTGATCTTGCAGCGAATATGATTTTTTCCATTATAGATACGGACTGTAGTACCCACAAATTCTGGCAAAATGGTAGATCTGCGTGACCAAATTTTCTTATTGTTAAGAAGATCTTTATTGTTCTTCATTTTCATCAGGAATGCATCCACAAAAGCGCCATCGTAAAAATGAGATCTGCTCAAAAGCCAAATCCAACAAAATTACAAATTCCTTACATCAGAAAATGAGAAAAACTCCACTAAAAATGTAATAGCAGACACGCAAACACAACCGTGGTGACCACATAGTATCCAGAAAAGACACAAAAATTGAAACAGTAAGCCATGGTGACAAAATGGACATGGCAAAAAAGAGCAGCACCGTAAAAGAAACTTACTCTTGCTTGGCTTGGGTACTATAGCATGCTTTTTCCAGTCCACACGTTCCCACAACCACTGGCTTTCCGGAGTTCAGCTATACCAAATGGTCCAAACCAAACAACACCAACAAGCCATCACATACCACTGTTAGGGCTGCACAATGGTATTGAATGCATAAACATATACGCAAGTAACAGGGTAATGTTACCTTGGTAGAGGACTCGGAGAAGAGTTTGCCAACTAGGCCACGATTGAGGGTTGCAATTAGACGCTTTGCCATCTTCAACTGTGTTGTGTGACTAGAGGGATGATAACAATTGGGTATTTTCTCTGATATGAGCTACAAAAGAATACAAGGCAACTTAAGGAAGTACCCAATAACTTTCTTTTCGATAGACATGGAAGAATAAGAAGAGCACACTACGAATCAATGTGACAGAACCAGATTAAAAAAGCACACAGATTCCTCGAGAAATAACAACTATCACCCTTCAATTCATTTACATTCACCATTTTTGAACAAATCAATAACATGTGACATTCATGCTACTTTAATTTGCTTATGATGCACTTATCGACATCTAGTCAAAGCTGGAACAATTACTTAAGCACACCGAACAACTCGGATTACATTTCAAAATTTATAAATAGAGGCACAATGCTTGAACAGAAAGGCATTACAGTTAACACAGAATTATCAAAGAACTTCATCTTACAAAGGAAACTCGAAAAATCTCATAGAAAAGCAAGGGACTTATGAAAAATCTCATAGGCGGCGATGGTTGTTTAATTGGGTATATGTGGGGTTTGTGTTGGTGATTCGATTGGGTTCGAACTGGGTGTTGATGGTTGTTCGAGTGAAGGTCTAGCGGTGGTGGCGGTGGGGTTTGACGGTGGTGGTTGTTGTGGCTTGATGGTGGAGGTAGTTGCAGGACAATCACAAATGAAAATTGCGAACCAAAATACAGAAATTAACAATGGTAGAAATCCACATGCATTCGAAATCAAAAGAAAACCTCAGAAATAGCAAAACCCACATGCGAATTTATACCAAAAACCAGAGAAATGATAAAGGGAGAGGGGGATGGAGGTTTACTTACCCGTCTCTCAGTGTGATGGAGATGCGAGGAAGAAGTGGGAGGAAGCGAGCTACCGAGCGGAGAGAGCGAGAGACGCACACAGAGCTAGATGGACCTTGGGTAATTTTCTTTTCTTTTCTTCTTTTCTCTTTCAGCGTGGGCCTTGAGCTAGATGGGCCTTGGGTAATTTTCTTTTCTTTTCTTCTTTTCTCTTTCAGCGTGGGCCTTGCTAATTTTAATAAAGGGAACTTTTATGAAAATGATATGCTCTGAGTTTATTTTAATAAAAAATCATGTTATAATTTTATAAGAAAATTAATGAAAAGAATTTGAAAATTTTGAGTTTTAATGATAAAGACAAAATAAAGGGTAAAGTGAATAGTACCAGGATTGACTTTTTAGTGTAAAAATGTGGTTTTTCGTTAAAGTGAACAGTACCGGGAGTTTTCGTTAAAGTTCCCTAATTTTATTTACTGAAAAATAATTAAATTTTAATGAAAAATTCTTGAATTTTAATAAAAAGACTTAATTTTTAATGAAAAAGACACAATTAAAAAAAAAAAACCTGACACATGCGCGGGGGACTTATACACTATTTATGAAACTGAACATTGTTTATAAAACTAAACACTATTTATAAAACTGAACGGTATTATACTATTTATTGATCTAATTTCATAAATAGTGTCTAGTTTTTTTGTCCACTTTCATAAATAGTGTCTAATTCTTGATCATGTTTCATAAATAATGCCTAGTTATTAGGTCCAGTTTCATAAACAATGTATTGTAGTTGTTACAGTTTCATTAATAATGTCTCTTTCTTGGTTCAGTTTTATAAATAGTGTCTACTTATTGGTCCACTTTCATAAATAGTGCCTAGTTCTTAGTCATATTTTATAAAATATTGTCTAATTCTTACTCTAGATTTATAAATAGTGTATAGTCCAGTTTTATAAATAGTTTCTACCAATTGGTTTAGTTTTTGAAATAATGCCTAATTCTTGTTTTTATTTCATAAATAGTGTATACTTATTGGTTCAATTTCATAAAATAGTGTCTACTTATTGATTTAGTTTCATGAATAGTGTCTACTTATTGGTGAAGTTTTATAAATAGTGTTTAATTCTTGGTTTAGTTTCATAAGATTTGAAACTTAGACCCTTTTTGGTCCTGTAAAAGCACCCATTATGCCAAAAACGATGAACCCAGAAGTGACTCTTTAGATCAAAACCTTGAGAAGATTATGTTCTCAATAATTATATTTAAAAAGCTGTTTTCAATTACCAAATTAAAATTTTCTCACTTTTTTCATATACCTACAATAATAAATGTAGCTCTCCATTCAATTTCTTGAGCTTGGATGTCATCTTCGAGAATTTTTTCCTTGTAGTCGTAACACAAATGGTATACCACGTGTTATTATATAAGTGGTGGAAAATTTTATTTTTTATGTTATTAATAATTTTTTAATATAAGAATCTCACAACTTATATAGAGTGTACCACCCCGTATTCTGGGCACATTGAAAAGTTTCTTGTCATCATGACTACTATTGGAAAACAACACCACTATTGGAAAACAACACCACACAAATAAAACAGGAGAATGTAATTCAATTCAAAGTATTTTCTTATAATGTAGCTCACGATGGGACAAAAAGGTAGGAGAAAAAAGTGGAGTGTTTGAAGTTTTGGGAAACTATTAATTTAGTTGACGATGGGACAAAAAGGTGGGAGAAAAAAGTGGAGTGTATGAAGTTTTTTTTGGGGGGGGGGGGGGGGAAGGGTACGCCCCAGCGCAAGTTGGATTTGTTAGGTTTTTTTATTTTTTTATTTTTATTAGTCTTTTGTTCTTATTATTAAATAAAGTTAGTGGGTGGTTTTTAATTAAAATGTAAAGATTTGAAGCCTTTTTCATTAGTTTTCCTGTTAATGAACTTAAAAGTCTAAGTGACATCACCCGACTAATAGATGTCAACCACGTGTTTGAAAAGTAAATCATTAATTCAATAAAAGCTCGTCACGTGACATGTTGCGTTACATAAGAGTAAAGGTTATAGTATGATATTGTTGTGCTTTAAAAAAAATGTTTCTACTTTGCTGTGACAATAAATGACTGTAAAATAAAACAGTAAAGTGTTTGGTAAACTCTAACTACAAAAGTTATTTTAGCAAAATAGCAATGTGTGAGTATTTGGTAAACTTTCATATAAAACTGTTGTGATAGTATTAAGTGACCAAAAATGAATGTGTGGTTGTCGTGATATTCTCCCTATTTGCTCAGTGTTATTGACCAAAAGGGTGGTGGGGGACAACATTTATGTCTTTTGTAGTTCTTCTCCGGAGTTGGCGCTACATGTGTTTAGTTCTTGTCCATTTGCCAGCTCGGTCTATCTTGCTGCCAACATGAACCTTACTGCAGCCCCTGGTGGCCTCATCGAGTTCAATGATTGGTTCTCCTAGTGCACGACCTTATTTTCTGCTAGTCAGCTCAACCTGTTTTTGGTGCTCATTCACTCAATTTGGCGGGCCAAAAACGCTTTATTGTGGGATTACAAACTTAAGAACCTTGCCTTAGTGAGTTACCAGGCTAATATTCTGTTGCTTGAATTCACTAAAGCGAATCCTGCTGGTCATTCTAAACCGCTGACCTCGCCATCCTGCTGGTGCCCACCTCCACCCAGGTGGATTAAAATTAATGTTGATGGTTCATTCTATTCTGCTTCGAATACTGGGGGAGTCGGTGTGGTTTTTCGCGATGAAGCCAGTAGCTATGTTGGAGGTTTCCTTCGAAATATAATACACGTGTCTAACCCCAAAATGGTTGAACCTATGGCTGCTCGGAATGGGATTTTATGGGCTGCATAGCAGCATCTGTAGCATATTATTCTAGAAAGTGATGCCTTGCACGTAGTTCAGGATATTGGTAGCTTGAAGGGGGGCTCCTCGTCTGCTGATTTGTTGGTGGAAGACATTAGAGTAAGTTTGAGAAGCTTTGATGATTTAAAAGTATGTCATATTAGTCAATCGGCACATTGTAGGGCCAAGTTGGCCTTGTCTTCTGATTTCAATTTTTGTTGGTTTGAGGAACCTCTAAATTGATTGTCAGATGTCCTCCATCAAGATTGCTTGCTTTCTTGTTAACTTTGAATAAAATTAACATCGTTTCTCCTTAAAAAAAAAAAAATCATCAAATAATTTAATGGAAGTTGATAAAAAAAAAAGAAGAAGTTTTGATTGTAATTTAACATAAAATAGCTAATAATTAGTTAATTATCTACGTATTAGTGATAAGAAAGTGGGGCCTACGTTGACCTTAAAAGCTCTCCCCCTACAAATCCAACATTTCTTCGTTGACTCCGCCCTCTCTTTCGATCATCCTCGATGCCGCTTCTCTCCCAGCAATCAAGCCATGGCTTTGCAATCAGAGCGTCTTCGTCATCGAAGTTCATTTCACACCCTCACTGCTAGCTTCACCTGCATTTTCTTTCTCCACCCATCATTCTCTCTACACCCAGCCTAAAACCCACACGATCGCTTAAACCCTAGCCGCCAAACCAAAGAGTTCAACCCTCATTTCCTACACCTTTCTCGTCGCCACCCTGAACACCGAAAATGCAACGAGATATGTGCTCCAACCATTGTTTCTCATCTGGTCATCTAATTTGTTCAATACGCCGACCCAGGACAGAAACACTGATATTCATATCGTAATTCGGTGGGAGGGAGAGCTGGTTATGTTGTGTTGGTTGGGTGGTTAGGGATTATGGATGGAGGTAGACAGTTGTATTCAGTTATAATGAATTAAGGATGATTAATAGCCATATGACACTTGTCAAAAAAGTATTGGATGAGTTAGTGGTAAGAAGATTAAATTGGTTGGTAAAAGATCCAGCGATGATCATTTTCCTAGGGATCTTGTGATCTCATCCATTCATCATATATCATGCTGTAAGTTTTTGTCAGAGACTGTTCATATTTAATTTTAAAATTTAAATTTTAAAATGATTTTTGACCGCACGATGTACAATGAACATGTGAGATCACAAGATCCTAGAAAAAGAATCCGGTGAGGATCCTTTTCCAAATTGGTTAAACGGTAGTTTAGTAAAATTTCAATTTTACCCCTGGAATCTACCCCCAACAGTTTGAGAAACCCTATCTGAGTTGTATAAATTTTAGATTTTTCATATTACACTTGGTTTCACTTAGGAAACCGAGGTGGGAGTTTGTTGCCTAGTAAAACTAAGAGTAAATTGTAGCAAATGTCTTTCAACTTTAATCAAATTGGAGCAATGGTCCCTCAACTAAAAATCCATTACCATTGGTTCCTCAACTCATCAAAATGTGTAGTTATGGTCCATTTGGTCAACTTTGTTAGAATTTTGTCAAAATAAGTTATGTTTGAATTATCATTGCTACAATTGGGGTCTCTCAACTCATCAAAACATGTAGCTATAGTCATTTTCGTCAACTTCGTCAGAATTTTGTCAAAATGAGTTATGTTGGAATGACCATTGCTACAATTGGGTTAAAGTTGAGAGACCATTGCTCCAATTGGGTTAAAGTTTAGGGACCATTTCTCCAATTGGATTAAAGTTGAAGGACCATTTCTCCAGTTGGATTAAAGTTGAATGACCAATGGTAATGAATTTTTAGTTGATGGACCATAACTGCACGTTTTGATGAGTTGAAAGACCAATAGTAATGGATTTTTAGTTCAGCAACCATTGCTCCAATTGGGTTAAAGTTAAGAGATCATTACTATAGTTTACTCTAAAACTAAGCAAAGGGCATATACTACCTCAACAATTAATGACACATCTCCTAATCAAAATGCATGCATCTGTCGACCCTTTGAACTCAAACGATGTGGATATACTCTTCCACAATGACTAGGAAAGAAAGCATTACTATTCAACAGAAAAGATGTGGCATCTATATTTCTTTAAAGAAAAAGTGGAATTGACGTCAATGCTTCCAAAAAAAACAAAAACATGAGAGCATTAGTTCTTGAATTTGTAGTCGAATTAGAGCTTTGATTTTTGCATTAAAAAGTGGTGAGAATTGATCATTGAACTTGTTAG